CCCGAAAAAAATCTTACTTTTCTCTCTTATGGTCGTTTTATGAAATGAATCTCATATCCCAGATGAGAGACCTCCAGCATGAGAACCTAAACCCATTCATTGGCATCTGTTTGGACGAGCGCTTCCCATGTGTCCTCTCTACCTACTGCGCTAAGGGTAGTGTCCAGGACATCATAGAACACGAAGACATCAAACTGGACTGGATGTTCAAGATATCACTTCTCACAGATATGACCAACGTGAGTTCCAGCTCAGAAGATTCATGTCTATGTATGTAGTATTCCCTGCAGTTGAATGCCTTGAGATGAAATGTATGACTCTCACGCTGTGATGATTTAAATAAACTCAAAAGACTTATTCAAAAGATTATTGATTGTATTTTTAAGAAAAATATTTTCTTGGAAGTCAGTGGTTCCTGCTTTGTCCACATGACCATTGGGGAAATAGGTTCGGTAAAAGGTTTTTGAACTCTAAGACGAATGTCCAAAAACAGGTAAAAGTTCCGAGATGCATTATTCATGAACTCTCTAAAACTGAATAAAAGTCACTTTGTTGAATGACGTGGTGAGATTAGTCAGTAACCCACCCTGTCCAGACTTCAAAGTCAAACCATACGAGTCCGGTTTTTAGAATGTGATTGTACATCAACTCAGCTTTGGAAAGTAAGAGGAAGATTGTTTCTCAGATTTGAGAACGATCTTTTTTTATCTGGACACCCCAGTAATCAACATTAAAAAAGGATCCATTTAGTGTCTGGAAAGAGGGTTTTCAGCTGTACACATATTGCAGAACTTAGGTCTCAAATCCTACAATATTCTTTCAAGTACCATTGGTTTGCAGAAATTTGTAACCACTAAAAGTTGTCTGTCTTATCCGGCTTAATCCGCAAGACCGCTGCAGCGAAAAGAACCAGAAACATAAGCTGCTTTTACCGAGGATTTGTAAATTACACTGTAACCAAAATGCACACTATATCTATAATAGCCCTATTTCGCAAGGAAAAGGTAATCTTGACCATAGTAGTGACGTTGAAAAATATAGACAAACAGACAAACACAATATAAGCTGGTGTAGAAAGGGGAGGGGTGGACATAGGCAAATTGATTTTTTTAAAGAGGCTAAGCGAGGGTTGTAAGGCAATTATTATATGTAGGCTTTATTATAAGTTCGCATTTTTTAGGAATCTGAAGCCTTCACTATCTGGAGATTTCTAAGTCTGCTGTTTTAGCCACATAATTACGAATATTCCTTGGTCTTAGAAAAGGCTTGTTTAACAATAATCTTTTCCACGAGTATGAAGTTCACAAAATGTACTCGTGGGGTTAATGGCCTTTGACGTTCACAAAATCAGGTACTGACCTGGAATATTCGTAATAATGTAGCTAAAAAGCAGACTTAGAAATCCAGTAAACAAGATTGATTTTGGTACCACTGATTCCCATTGCACTCTCTCTCTCTCTCTCTCTC